AAGCAGAAAAATAACAAAAAGCACGTTACCAGATTTCGAATTTCGATGTAAGTGTGTATCTCATATGCAATACATGGTAAAAAATTCAAATCACTATGCAGCAATGAACACATCCAGTATTCTAAAACGATGATTTAAGGTACAGTTGAAAATTATTGTTTATAACTGCGTAAATAATAAAAAAAAAATAATCCATATACCTATAAAAAGGACGCTCAATGCGCTCTATATTTTCCTTCAGCTTGTGCTTTAGCAAACAACCAATAAAATACCGATTTTATTGCTAAAAACAAAAGCTATACAATCCAGCTTCAAGATAAACTGGGTAGACATTTGGTACTTAACAATAAAAAGATCTTACTAAAACGTATTTCAAAGAAAATTTCAAAAATTCACTTTACTTATCTACCTAAAATAGTTAATTTAACTCTCGATGATAATAAGAAAAAAGTTTTTATATTAAGAATAATAAAACTTTTCCAACAAAAAAAAATTTGAAAGTCTTTCGTTTGCTTCTTACAATTAGTTGATTCCCTGTTAACAAAAAGTACTTTAAATTCTCAACAGAAACTGCAGTTAAACAAAATTTGGAAATCAGTTTAATAAATACCTTTAAAACCCAGTGTGGTAATATTAAAATTAAAATTTGTTAATTCTAGTTTTAAAAAAATATTTCAACGACTTAACAAAATAGAAGGGTATTTTGGAAATACATTCAACATAAAACACATTTCTTAAATACTATGTTCAACTCGCAATGTTTTTAAAGGATAACTAATAAATGTTAATAAAAAAATTGCCCTAAGCGAATCTTGGAAAAACATTATGACATGAAAGTTAGGTTATTGAAATAGGAATGAATAAATTCCAGCTAAAAAATATATATTAAGTAACAAAAAATATTTCCACTTGAAATTTTTTAAATCACAAGTTTCGAACATTTGGTCAATTCAAGATGCACTCTTGAAATTATGTTTAACATCAAACCATAATATTGGTATAAGCTAGAGTCATATTAAGAATGTAGCAAATTTGAAGAATATTTTGGTTAAACACAGTCCAAAACAAAATCAAAAATTTTAAAAAAAAATAAAAATTCTTTAATAACTAAATAAAAAATTAAATCACAACGGGATAAATCTCAGAAATATTTTTTTCTTTCTAAAACCCTATATTTGTCCCATTAAGAGAATATAATGAAGAATATTACTTGATCACACTTAGCAAAAACTGTGGCAACGTTCGAACAAAAGATACTTTAACTCCACTCTAGATACACTATATATTTATTAACTAAACTATTAATTAACAAAATTTTATGAAAATAAATAACTAAATATAAGTACACAAGCATTACTTTAAAATTATCATGAGAATTTGCTTATGTCTGTTGTTATGTTACTTCATTGTTTCAGAGAGATTTCAGAGAACAAAAATGTTGTTTTATTTACAAAAAAGAATATCTCCGACAAACTTTTACCTACATGTTTCCAAGAAAGAGCTTTGAAAATAGTCATAAATATGTTGGCGTTCTAGTTTATAAATGCTCTAGCAAATAAGTTGCACGCAAAAGTTATGAATTGTCAAAGGAATTTGAATCACAACTAGGACTGAGATTTTAATACAGATAATATCTCTAAGAATAATATCCTCTGTTTATACTGCACACACTGACTAGTTCATTAGAAATCTTAGATTAATATTTTTTGGTTCTTTTGTAGCACTGATAACAGTCCGTATTTGTGTGAGTATCGAGTCCACAGTACTTTTCTTTATGGAATGCACTCATCTCCATAAAATGCCATGCATTGACTGCGTGGACTGCATAGACTATCTTGACTGACTGCATAGACTATAGAATATCTTGTAAATTAGATGGAAGAGGCGATTGTTATCGGATGTGCCTTTCCGAAATGTGTCGACATTTTTTGTATGGTTTTATTGGGTCGATAGTTGAGGAAGGTACTGGAAGTCAGGTTGACGTTCGTTGAGCCAATATTGTACGCTTCTATACAGTTGCATTACTGTCCATGACGTACGGTGAACACAAAAAAATCAAATAATTTGAAATAGTTAGATATTTAAGACTCGATTTCTCGTGAGCTATTCGACCGATTCTATTCAAATTTTGTGGGTTTTTTGTAGCGGAGGTTCAAGGGTTGGAGAAGTGGCCTCCTAATGAAGTGGCTCGGGCTCAAATCTCAGCTATAAATGGTAGATATGAATTCCGCATTCGGTATACACCAACCAGAGTGCTGACATAAAATATACTTAGTGATAATAAAATACACTTAGATCATGGATTAGAGTCCCCTTGTAGTCTGGCTTACCGTAAGAGGTTTTCGTGATGATTTCCTTCTACATGTAACACAAATGCGGTTAATACCCGCGAAATAGTCCTCCACGAAAGCAAATTTCTCCCAATATTTGATACAGGAGTTCCCTTGTCTTCTAGTTCTAGTTAAAAATTATAAGGCTACGGAGTTGAGTATTGGTAGTCGTAAACTCCAAAATCGGGTTGGATGTTCAAAGACGTGAAAAAAATTGGGTTTTGCCACACAAATGTATATTATTTAAAATGAGGCAAAGATTTAAATTCCTTGCATTTCAAAATTTCTTTAAATGAAATAATTGAAAAAAGTATGAAACATTATTAAAAATAATTTTTTGTGTGCATAAAGGTTTCTATAATTTAGACGGGGGGAATTTCAGTTCGCTTAAAAAGTTCTTGAGATAAGACGAAATACACAAAGAATGCAATTAACATTAAGGGGTCCGAACTTGAGACCGGACTTCAGACCAAATCTATTGAGATCATATTTCTCAGATTGCGGCTACCCCGAAATTTTGAGGGTCAAAATTCCAAATTCATTGAAAAAAAAACTATGTTTATTCAGAGAAAGTACACTTTTGTGTCTGATTTCGTAACTTAAAATATCTACATTATCTAACTGACATATTTGAGGAAACACCCTAAACCACTAAGATTGAGTCCTAGTTCGTAAAAGTCCGAACTTTAGATCAAAATTTATACAGGGTGTTTCGTTTATTGTTTTGCGCACAATACCTTCGCATTAAAAATGCTGCAATTCAGGAAAAATTTGATACGTCAATGTGTCCAGTTGTTGCACGATTCTTTGCTTACCCTGGACTAGCTCCAAGACACCACTACCATACCAGCAGAGCATGTCTCACATCATGATACTACCACCAGATAACCTGTACACAGTAAGAACATGGCAAGAGAAAACCGCCCTAGTTTCTAATTCATCGTCCAGTTTGTGCATTATAATGTTAATTAATTTTTTTATTTCAAAATTCAGATATTAATAAAGTTTTTTTATGAATATCAATACACAAAAGCGTTGCAGATATTTTTAATACACAAGTAGCTAAATTTTAAATTAAATTAATGCATAAAACTTTTTTCTTCCAATGCCCGTCTGGGGAACGACCTTTCGTCATATAGGCATCTGAAGGGCAGATTTGTTGGCCACTTCTTCATGGCCACCATATTAGGTGGGCCAATGTTGCTCACACGGTAAGAACAGAGAATGCATGAACATCCCTGCCATGCCAGGGATTCGAACCCAGATCCTTTCAGTTACAAAGCCAGTTCCCTGACATCTGCTCAGTCGGTCGGATTGATGCATAAAACTAATCATAATCATATAAATAAATATTTATCGTCTAGGAGATTTTTGAGAAAATATGTTTAATTTTACTTTAAAATATTTATATTGAAAGAGTAGAATACAGTATAAATTTACTCGGAAATACATTAAATCATAGCTAAAATTATCTCCAAATAATAGTTATGTTACATTAATTGCTACTTCACTGCGAAAGAAAACAAAAACTCAGTATATAGGTAGAAGAGATTTTTTTTCGGGACAAAATAGTTTTTTACATTTATTTATTACTTATTAATTTGTTTACTGGTATATTCTTACATAATGAAAAAAATGCATATAATTCAACATTTTGATAATTCAAATGTATATAATTCAACAAATGTGTATATAATTTCAATGCAAATCTCATACGCATTTTTCTAACCTAAATATCTTCCAAAAAAAAACTTAGTGCTTTTTTTTCTAAGATGTTGAATGCATAGACGCGATTTAATATGAAAGATGAGACGCCGGTTGTCATAAAACGAATTGAAACAGTTTATTATTTCATTAGCTTTCATTTTAAAATTTAAACATATTGTACCTAAATATACTTAATTAAATGTAATTGTTTTAATTTATTTTCTTATGTTTTTTTTAGATAACATATAATTTTATTCCCTTCATATTTTCAATAGCCTATTCTGCTTCATTTATACATTTCATAATGTAAAAGTTTTTAAACTTTCAATTTTATTTTGATTCATATTTTAATACTTTGTAATCTCCTGAAGCATTTTAATAAAAAATAAATTAAAACAACTATGAAATTATTTTATGGATGCATTCATATTCGATGTATCTATATATTCTTATGAATGTATGTGGAGTAATTCAGACGAAAACCATATCTGAAATAAATAGAACATTGGAAAATTGTATACAATTTTTATAAATTTTCATGTTTCAATTTTTTGAGTTTAAATTTAAAATATTCTAATATTTCTAAACGCTGATTCCAGACATATATTTTTGATTTATGGATTTTTCTTAGAGCATTGTATACAGTTTTCCTTTATTCTTAAATTATTTGAACTCTAATATTCCAACATAAAAAATTTCTTTATTATATTAATTTTAAACGTTCCATATTATAATAATTTAAAATTTTTCTTTAATGATTTTTTTTTTAAAAAAAAAATATGCTTAATGATAGGAAATAAATTTATTTCAATTAAAAAACTAAGTTGAAATTTTTAGAATTTTTGTATTTCTACCAAGTTTTTTTTAAAACTAACATTTTTAAGAGACAAAAATATAGCATCGTTATTCATGAATATTATACTATATTATGTTATGTAAAAATGCTTGAACATAATAACTCACCAAGTTTTTTTGATGACTTCATTTTTAATCCAATAAATAATCCAATGGGTCTTTTTTTATAATTCACATGTCAGGTAATCCACAATAAATATGTTTTCCTTAAAATTTTCTAAACCCAAATTACAGAAATTTTAAAAATATATAGTGTATCCATTCGCAATTAAGCACAATTTTTTTTCTCTCAAATTTTCACAACCATGGTCACATCGGAGTTAATCATTGAGTAGGGACTTATCTATTTGGAGAAGAGAAAGAATAAAAAAAGAAGAGCTTAGAACTGAAAACTATTCATTGATGAAAGTTGCGTATCTGTCACTAACGGGGTAGTAAAAAAAGAAGCAACAGGTTTCACTGCCATATTGGTATTCTTTTGGCGATAAAATGCACGACTTGGCGACGTTCATTTATTCAAAGAGATTCAAACGAACAAACAAATATGCATTTTATCTTATTTCCTCATCTCCTCTTTAATACCAATGACTCGCTTAAAATAGCTTATTAGAACAACAATTGCATTTAATGAATATAGATAATTGCATTGGTTAGCCAATCAGATTCATTGCACAATTTGCATCCACAATCCTAAAGATACTAGGAAAATTCTTAATATCTATGAATGTGCCTTGAAATATTTTATACAGTTTATAAATTCTATTTATTATTTAATAAACTTTCGAACCACTTAATGTTATTGTTTAAGGCAAATAAGACAAATAAATAGCCATTCAGACTCATTGCAATTTGCATTCACCATCCGAAAGATACTAAGAAAATTTTTAATATCTATGAATGTGCCTTGAAATATTTTATACAGTTCATAAATTCTGTTTATTATTTAATAAACTTTCGAACTACTTAATGTTATTGCTTAAGCAAATAATACAGCACAATTATTTTTAAACATTTCAGCAAGTTTAAAACACACAAGTATTTTTCCAGATTTCAGAAGAACATATCACTAAAAAAAGTGTCTTAATTCTTTTATTGTTGCATGAATAAATTTTAGCTTCGTTTGATCCAAGTTAACAAAAAAATAATTTAAAACATTTAATGTCAATTAGTTCAGCGAAATCAATTGAGACGGTACACTCAAACTTCTTTAATTTTACGTAATTAAACAAAAAGCTGATTTATGGACTTTTTATCGTATTTTTAGAATAGAAGTATTCAGCATTATAGTTAGACGAAACACTTATGAATGAAATGGGTCATCGGGCGGTAACTTAAAATAACACCCCCCCCCTGAAAAAAAACGTATTGTGTAATTGTTCTTTTAATAAGTTCAATTCTGGTTAATAAGTTTTCTTGCAATCAGGCTAACCGTAAGGTTTGTGTGGTTTTAATCTCAATATAACGCAAATATGGGTTACTTTTGCTGAAAAAATTAGTCACAAGAGCTAGTTTCTTCCAAAGCTTTATCTAATAATTACTTTATTGTCTGGGTTTGGTTTTAAAATACAAGGATATGAAAATTTACAGTATCAAATTATTTATATGTTCATCGTTTGCAATAAAATCTAACTTCAACGCGGTTCTCAAAAAATAGGATTTTATTCTGCCTTAGTTCCTATTGCACAAAAGTTATGTTCAAGTGGATATTTTTTTTAAAAAAAACTTCTCATTTAAAAAAATTTCATTCAAAATATCTTCCTTTTATTAAAATACTTTAAAATTATCATACTTTTAAAAAAAGCTACCACAGTAAATATTATTAAAATTTAAGCACTTAAGCTAAAAAAATGAATAAATTACAAAACCAACCATTAGCAACTTTCTTTATTGCGAAGTCTTACATCAATCATGCAAAAACCGACTAATATTTCTGAAATTCTTCTATATACTCGTTTAAATATGGTTTAAAAACGCTTAAAAATATTTTTTAAAAAGTAAGTGCTCATGTCCATGTTTACAAAAGCGCGAACGAAATTTTGCTAAAAACTTAAACATTTATTAGATAAGAGGTTATATTATTTTACAAATTATTGTGTAATTGTAAATTAATTATTGTGAATTGTAAATTATTGTTCATTTTGGAATTTATTATGTTTTGCAACCCCCCCAGAGAGGAACTATACGTATATATCCGTTCGGAAAATTAATCCAATTTTCACCGGACCTGAACATTAGCTTTCTGAATTTAATTTATAATCTCAGAGAAAAAAATTATAACAGAAGTAACTTCAATGAAATGTTTTATTTTCAATAAGTTATTTTGGTAAAAAAAAAATTAAAATAGCTGTAGTTAAAAAATGGTTTATTGACTCATTAAAATTCAATCCATTTTTTTGAAAAAAATAGTAGTTAATATGATTGTGTGGCCCACTCTGATTTATTAACTGCTGCAGTATCAGAAAACCACAGTACCAGCCGTGTAGTTGAACCACAGTACTATACCAATTTGTAGCAATATTAATAAGGTGTTAAATTGAATCATTTTTCAGTAAAAGTAGAGCTATATAATGTAACAAAATTTAAAAACTGGTAAATTGCACAATAATGTGGTTTAACGTGTCACTTTATTAAAGTTGCTACAAATTTGAATGTTATGATGATTCATAAAAGATGCAAAATTTCTAACAGCATATGACTAATCAAATACGAAATAGATATTATAATCTAATAATAAACAAATAAACAATAAATCAAAAAGCAATTAACTATCGGTCGTGTTTCTTATGGGACCTAATCTTAAAATGAGCCTTATTATCCAGATTACTAGAATGGATAACTTTCTCGAAAATTTTACCCTCATTTAGAACGTTTGTCGAAATCATCGCTGAACTTCGAAATTGAAATTTAGAGGCAGCAGCACAAGTAGACACTTAATCATGAATTGACGCTTGGATGGAAACTTTTTCCGTTTAATGCTTGCATCTAAATAGCATTGCAATGAACTATTTTAGTTGCAAAAATAAATGAATAAAGTAGTTGAAATCACGTTAACATAGTCTGGGAAGATGACGACAAAACTAGTCATAACATCAAGTAGTTCAGCTGTTTGTAAGAAAGGATATTGTACCTTTCCAGAGTAAAGATCTATTGTGAGTCTAAGTGTGTGGTGAGACAAGTGCAATCAGCAAGTTAAAACGTGAAATATTAGCAAAATTAGGAATAACCACTTTGACGAATGCTTAAGGTGTCACATATTGACTTAGACTTCAGAAGAATAAAAATACAGGATAAAAAATAAATTGAAAACGCTTTTGCAAGATGTTCAGCTACATCGAATCAAAACACTGATGGTATACATAAATTTCTAACAATAACAAAATGTTTGTGAACTTTGCAGACCACTTATGTGAACACTTATGCTTGCAGTGTTGTCACATTTAGACATAAAGGACAAAAGAATTTAAATCATCTCAACTTTGGATTTAAAAAAATTGACAACACTGTTCAAAAGATACTCTACTACATTGGATTGAACCACGCTTAAAAATACAGTTAATAAGATACGAATTTGTACTTATTCTTGTTGATGGTATTAGGTGACTTTGAGAAGAAATTCACATGTCAGGTAATCCACAATAAATATGNTAAATCATCTCAACTTTGGATTTAAAAAAATTGACAACACTGTTCAAAAGATACTCTACTACATTGGATTGAACCACGCTTAAAAATACAGTTAATAAGATACGAATTTGTACTTATTCTTGTTGATGGTATTAGGTGACTTTGAGAAGACATCTACTACAGCACTGAGAAGAAAAAATATTTCTAGAACTACCAGAATATGGTAAATTTACCGAGTGTCTGGCTCTTTGGGATCACCTAAAAGGTCGGTAATTTTTACCGAAGCGCTTTGGTTATGATTTCGGTAAAAATTAACATTAAATTATAATATGTGATAAAATTTGGTAAAGATGGTAGGATTTGCTAATTTCATCATGATGCCTTAAAGCATGGCATAGAAACCATTTGTTCCGTTAAATTTACTCTACAGTTTTGCATTTTTTACTAAATGTGTGATCCTAAGAACTGTAATTTTGAAAAGCAGAATTTCCTGTAAACGTAAGCATATGCACGAAAAAAAAATTCAAATGAATAGTAATACCAGAAATTTCGTTTTTATATCCTGAATAATGTTGTAGTTTTTTACCAGAAATTTCATTACCATACAGCACGGAAATTTTAACAGAATATTTTTCGTTTGTGTATGATATATCTTTATTATCTAATTTTAGTTAAGATTGTTGTAAATATTAAGTCGTTTTGGATTAGGGACCTTAAACGGTGAGGGAAGTGCTTACGAGAAAATGTATGAAGCTTAATTTTTACTGTTTAAAATGTCTAAAATCACATTCTTCTTCTTTTTGAACCAGTGTTTTTCTTGGATCTGCATGAATCTGTATTGCAACGATAAACGAGGAAAAAATCAAGGGGGAAAGGCTCGCAACCGAAAAAAAGTCCCACAGAACAACACTGGAAAAAGAAAAGAATCTATTTACGATCGCCATGCGAAAAAGAACCAGAATTTAATGTAATTGAATTTTTGTCTGGTAAGAATTAGATATTCTTAATTATTAATGTATAGGATTAATTTGAAATCACCGAAAAAAAATTCACATTTCATACTTTTCAACTAGAAGATTAAGATTTTAAGAAGCTATAAAAATTTTCTTAATTTCAATAAATACAATCATATTGTTATAACGAGCACAACTACAGAGTTAAAATTTTCCTTCTAAAATTGCGGCAAAGTAACCGGCTGCAATTTGCCCATCAGATTTACTATAAAGTTTATAGTTTGGAAAATTTCCTTACCTATACAGTTTTCAAACCGTTTACAACTGGTAGAGTTAAAAATATGAGAATACAAAATTGTAAGGTTTTGTAACCATTTTCCACTAGCATAGTTTCTAAACCATACAAATAAAACTTAAACGGACATTGGAGATCTGTGAGTGCTGCGTTATTTGTACGTTATTGATAGTTTTGTATTCTAATTGTTTAGAGTCACAGATTGAAGAGTGCAGGGCACTAAAAATTCTTCATGTATAAAAGGAAAGGAAGAAATATTGCTGTATCAGCGCTGGGATTCGAACCCCCGTTCAGCCAGTTTTGAGATTGACCGATTAACTCTCTCAGCTACAGTATGTACCCAGCTGCCCGGAACAAAAGGATTTCATAAAATAAACCGAGTCTAGTTGGTGAGGATGAAATTCTAATAATAATGTACAGTATATGGTAAAAATAATCAATCACTGCTTTTTTCTCACACTTAGCAGTTTGGATTTTATATTTTTATGGTTATTTGATTGTTTTGGTTGAATATGGTAAAATAGCAATGAAATAGATTGCTATTTAACTAATTTTT